CATTGTTACTTGCAGTTTTGTCGATTGGTGCTCTTTACACTTTCGAGCGTGAGCATGCCTTCATGCTCCACGTCGGCTCCAAGGTCCTGGTCAACCAATTCCTACAACACAAGGACAACTTCGATTCCCGCAAGTGCCCCTTGTCATTGATGCAGGCTACTCTGTTGAACATGGTATTTGAGAGCTGGAGCGGCGATCCGAAGGGCCTCGAATGGACTTGCTCAATTAAGAGTCTCCTGGCCAACATGGTCGCCGGCAACCGGTACCAGCTCAAGTTGCGGACCCAAGCTCGCCAGAATGTCCAGCCATCGCGCGAGGAGTGGATTGAGGACGAATCCTGCCGCCGTACATACTTCGCCGTGTACATTTTCTTCGGTATGTTGACGCTCACATTCAATCACACTCCCGCCATGAGCTTCGATGAGTTCGACGACTTGGAGCTCCCATCTTCCGAGTCTCTCTGGAACTTGGACGCCGCTGATGATGAGACTTGGCGCCGTGGCACCGTCTCCAGTGCCTTGACTGTGCGCGAGGCCCATGACTTCCTTTTCCAGGGTGAACGGACCCGCTACAGTGCTTTCGCTACTCGTGTTCTCATCAACGCCCTGTTCCTGCAAGTTTGGAACCACAAGCGCAGCTTTGAAGCGCTCCAAGATGTGGTTACCGAATACAAGCTGCGCCTGGCCCTCGAGACATGGGAGAGCTCCCTCGAGGTTTGCGAACCGGAAACAATCGTGGTCCCGCTTAGCACTCCTCAGAAGGGTCACCCCTTGATCTTCAACTCGATGGCGGTCTACCGCAACACCCGCGCCCGCCTGGAAGTCGACCTGAAGTCCATCCAGGAGGCAATGCGGTACCACTCTTCATACGAAGTAGCGGCTGCTATGACCGTTGCTCGTGAGAAGGTCAAGCGCTCGCAGGAAATGAACAAGGTTATTCAACAATGTTTCGAATGCATTGAGATTGCCGCTATTCAAGGTATCAATTGGGTTGCAAAGACTTCCGCCACCAACTGGAGTGTTGAGCACCCTCTCTGCGGCCTGGATCTGATGGTCATTCTGAGCCTCTGGCTCTACCGCCTGGAACATGACGATGAGCCGGCAACTGAGGCTGAAATGGCCCTCTACAACAAGGTCCGCAATCTGTTTGACGACGATGCCATCGACGCCTTTGGCAAACTCAGCTCTACCGTCGCCCGTGTATGGGGTAACATCCTAGACGGCGTGGTTGTCTGGGGGTAAGTTTTTCATTTCTCCTGGCTTTGATGACCAAATAACTAACCGCTTTATAGAATCACCAAGTTGATGGGCGAATCATTCAAGCTCCACTCCCAGGCCCTAGTCGGCTACGAAGATTCTCTCCGTGTTGGCAAGGATCAGCCGATCCATGCAGTGCCAACCAAGTCGCTTGCTAGCGTCGGCACTGCATACTAAATTCTCCTTTCATCAATCTCCTAGAGTTGATTTGCTTTTTTTTTCTTTGCCTTTTCTTGAATTTTTTTTTTTTTTCAATTTCTTACTCTCATTTGTTGGACGCTTTCATTGGGACACTTCGGAACTCGGACTGGACATACCAGTGGGTAGTAGGCGGGGTGTTGGGCTTTTCTGGAATACTTCGCCTTTTTATATCCCTCTCGGTGGTTCCTAGTCCTTTGCTTTTCTTTTGCGCTGTTTCTTTTTTTGCATCTTCCCTGCTTTTTCTTGCACCAGGGAGTCCAGTGTGGTGTTTCTGCTTTCCGTCTTCGACACCTGGCTGGTCCTGTGTGTACTTTCGCACTCCGTGGAGTTTGACTTTATGGTTCATACTAACCCCTAATCGTGCCCCCTCGTCCATCTGCTTTTTGTGCTTTCGATACCTTTTGATATTTCATGCGTTCGCGTTTTCTTTTCTTCCATATTTTGCAATTTCTTCTTCTTTGGTTGGTTTCCAACCGCTGTATTTGATGTTAATTGCCTACCTTTCTACCCCGTCTTTTTGCTTTTTATGCTTTTTACGCTCAGCATTGTTTTGAAAATTCCGCATTTGTTTCACCTGCACATGTTTTTATGCCGCTTCCATGTACTATACGTTATCGATGAATTATCTGGCGGGGACAACCTCTTTTTCTACACACTAGACACTAGGCTGTAGACTTGGATTGTAGTTTGTAGCCTTGATCATTTATAGCCAGTCTGTAGTTGTAGTTAATATGTTGTGTAGGTACATCACCATCTCTAGCATCTAAACCTGAAAATGTCGATAGTAATGCCGATAGTAATGTCAAAAACTACTTTCCAATAGCAACGAACAACCGATCACCAATATCTCCAATGCCAGGGACAATCATGCCCTTCTCATCAACACCCTTATCAATACCACCAACCCAAACCTCAACCTCACTCCAAGTCCCCGCAGCACGCTTGACCCCCTCTTCCGAAGCAAGCAAGCTAAGCATAATAACCTTCTTGACACCCCAATCACGGAGCAATTGGATCGCTGCCTCGGCCGTGGCACCAGTAGCGATAACTGGGTCTAGCAGCACAGCCAGGCTTGCAGCTGCGGTGTTGGTAGTTGGGTTCAAGGAGGCGGGTGAGGCCTGCGACAGCTCCGACCGGTGGAAGGGGAGATTGTTGTAATATTCTACTGGTTGAAGAGAGACCTTTTCGCGGAATAGGCCCAGGTGGTAGACTGGGACTGGGGTTGGGAGGAGGTCGTTTAGGGCTGGGGTTGTGTAAGCGGGGCTTGGGTTAGGAGTGGGGGGATAAGGCTAAGGAGTGGGGAGGAAGAGAGGGAGATAGTGATCGAAGGAGATAAGCTGTACATGCAAAATGGAATTGTATCTGGAGTGTTTTGGATTGGATATGGAAATGCGAATTAGGGAATTAGGGAATAAAAGAGTAATAGGGTAATATGGTAACATTGCAGGAAATAATATGGGTTACAGTTGCAGTGTTGGTTTGAGGGGGTTATGTGGAATATTGAATCACTCACCATCAACCATTCCTAGGCCAGATCGGAGGATTGGCACTAAAGCTAGGTCTGCTGGGTCAATGCCCTGGGTTTCATACTCGATTCCGAGGGGGGTGGTGTCCTGGTAATGAGTGTTAGGAGATTCAATGCTTAGTGTTTGATGGATGTTCAGTCTTGGAGATCTATTTACCGTTCCTGTTTTCACTACCTTCAACCCCGAGAAGGCTTGCACGCCGAGGATGTTGGCAAGGTCATGAACCAAGCCTCTTGTCTCACGTGGGGTTGTGGAAGATGAGCGGATTAGGGAGAGCTTGGCTTGGAGGCAGGGGTGGGAGGAGACATGGACATTTGATGGGAGAGACATGGTGAAGTGTGTAGAGGATGTTATGAAGAGGAGAGGAAGAAGAAGAAGAAGAAGAAGAAGAAGAGGAGAAGCAAAGCAAAGTACATAACCAGTCAGTTGTTATCTCTCCTTCCCCTCATATACAAACTGGGCGCTAACCTTATCGGACTCCACCTGATCTCCGGTTTCTTGGCAGAGACTTTTCCTTTTTTTTATTCTCTCATTTTATCCCTTGAACGGCCAATGCCTTCAACTATCGAGGAAGACAACCCCTCAAAATACACTTACCCTTTAAGAGACTCCCAACAAGCAACCCCAAATGAATCATGGCCAAGTTCGGGTGATCACGCAGTATCCGCACCACCTGTACCACCTGCATCTATTGCACCGCCAGTCTCTAAACACGCAACGCACATCTACACCGTCTCCTATTTAATCTTCTTTTCGCTCCTGGGCACACTAGCTCGCCTAGGTTTACAGGCACTGACATTTTACACAGGTGCCCCCGTTGTAACAGGGGTACTATGGGCGAATGTAGGCGGAAGCCTGATAATGGGCTTTCTGAGCGAAGACCAGAAGTTATTCCGCGAAGAGTGGGGTAAAAAACCAACCAAAGAACCAAGGACAGACGAAGTCGAAGACGACGCCAAAACCAAGAATAAGAAACACTTGGCTGCGAAGAAAACCATCCCATTGTATATTGGTCTGACGACCGGGTTCTGCGGTTGCTTCACTTCTTTCTCGTCCTTTATGCGGGATGTCTTCCTCGCTCTGGCAAATGCACTCCCCGATCCGTCACTGCCTACCGGATCCCACCATGCCCCTCGTAATGGCGGGTATAGCTTCATGGCGTTGGTCGCCGTGATTCTACTTACCGTGTCACTGAGCCTGTCGGCGCTTATCGCCGGCGCGCATCTTGCCCTGGCTCTAGCACGCGTAACGCCCACCGTGCCCTTCGCATTCACCCGACGTGTTCTCGACCGTGTTGTCGTCGTGCTTGCCTGGGGATGCTGGCTCGGAGCCGTGTTCCTGGCCATCTGGCCGCCAGACCGACATAATGGCCCGGATGTGTGGCGCGGCCGGGCGGTGTTCGCTCTTGTCTTTGCGCCGCTTGGCTGTCTTCTTCGGTTCTATGCCTCGCTGCATCTGAATAGTAGGATTCCGACCTTCCCGCTCGGCACGTTTGCTGTTAATATCTTTGGGACCATCATCGAGGGTCTTTGCTATGACTTGCAGCATGTTAGTGGTCTTGGAGCGGTGGTTCCTGCTGCTATGACGGGTTGCCAGGTGCTGCAGGGTGTTATGGATGGATTCTGCGGAAGCACGACTACTATCAGTACTTGGGTTGCTGAGTTGAAGGGACTGGCTCATCGGCGCCATGCGTATTTGTATGGAAGCGCCAGTGTGCTCGTCGCGCTTGGGTTTTTGGTTGTTATCATGGGCTCATTGTTGTGGACCCGTGGGTTTGCTGAGCCTGTATGTGGATAGATAGCCGGTGGTGTATGATATAATGTATAATATAGCCAAAAGCATTCAAAATGATAACTACATGAGAAGGACTGGAGTAGCCGATCGACATGAACAATCCTATGGACAATATCAAAAATTATATCAACATTACCTCCAAGCACCAACGCCAACCCAACGCCATAATTCCATCCTTACCCTTCATCCTATACAACAAAACCTATAGCATCATAAGCCAACTCTACTCCCGACTAGGCGCAGGCCCAATCTCAACAGGCAGACCAATCCCACCAAACCTCCCCGCCGGACTCGCCGACCGAAACCCATCAACCCGCAAAGGACTCCGATCCAGACTCCTCCCTCCCCCCAGCGCCATCCCGACAATACCTGAACCGACAGCTCTAGACCCATCCTCGCCACTCCCAAGCAGACCAACAGAGTCAGCAGAGCTCAGCGGCGTAGACCGACTAAACGGACTCCTGATGTGCGATGTGATCATGCACCCCTTCCTAGCCGTGTACATCTCCATGCCGTGGACGGGCAGCTCGACGCGATTCTCGGGCATGCCGATGCGGTCGAACATTTTTTCTTGCGCGTTGCTGGGACTCGGGCTTCGGCCTGCTGTTACGGAGGTTGTTGTTCCCAGGGGTGGTTGTGGTTGTGGTTGTGGTTGGGTTGGGGTTTTGCGGATGGATTTGCGGCGGGCGAGGTCTTGCGCGGCTAGGCGGGTTTGGTATACTGGGGTTGAGTTGTTAGGGGAATCATGTAGGTTTTGTCATGACTTTTTTTATGTTGAACTGGAGTTGAAGGTTCATGTATGTTGATTGTAATGATCGTAGACAGGCTTGTAGGTCGTTGTATTGATATAGAGATAGAGATATCAGGAGGTGGGGGATAGGTGGATCACTCACCACGCCAGAGAGCAACGTATGTGCCTATAACCACTATGCAGAGAGAAAAGAAGCCGAACATCAGCCCTAGCTCGTGGCGGAGCGAGGGCATCGGTACGTAGGGTGGGTATTCGTCTGAAGCCATGGTAAGGGTTGGGTTTGTAGTATTGTTTGTATTTGGAGTGGAGTGTGGATATACCCACTCCTATGAACATGAAAGATGTCTCTTTTTAATGATATCTCGAAGATGGAGCTCAAAAAGTGGAAATCGACGAAACTGTCAATGTGGAACTGGTTCTCGAGTAACAAAGAAAGCCATTCCTGAGTCCGAGTGCCATGAAAGAGGCGCAGGACTAACGAAAATCAAGTCTGAAAGAAAAGCAATAAAACCAATAAAAGTCAGCGCATAGTCGGTTCGTATTGACCATATCTATATATACTAATTAGGTAAAAGCCATGTACTCCGTACACACAGGAGAATCTGCGGAAACAAAAAGGTATCATGTACAACATGCATACAACATGCAACTCTATACTCCCAACAGTACCCAGTACATATAGTAGTACATTGGCATGTTGGGGAATGCAATAGAAAAAAAAAGGGAGCTCAAATATCCGATCCCACGCCAGAACACAAGGCCATGGATGCAAAAAAAATAAAATAAACAAAATGGGTAAAAATCCGCTGCAAAAGACCGTAAGAAAATGAAGAAGATAAAGGGTCGCAGAAGTATGTCGAGCGGAGTAAAAGATAAACAAAGTTCGAGCGATGCCCGGCGTTTCACGTGTCGTAGAGAAAAACAAGTAGGTCGAGGCGCGGAAAAGAAAAAGGTATATGTACCGAGACTCGAAAGTCGAAAGAATCTCAAGGTATGGTTTCGTTTCAAAGCGATGCAAGTCAACAATCACCCGAGCATCACAGCCGCCAGAGCAGTAAAGGTCAACCCGATAGCCATGCCAATCCACGGAGTCTGACCGAGGGAACCCTCACTGCGCGCCTGGAGGACATAGCGAGCAGCGAGCAAGCGCATCTCATCAGACGGCAGATCGCGATCCGTGAATGGAGCGAACTGTTCCTGCGGAGCGAGTTCTGGTAATGAGACGGCTGGTGAGTTGTGCGCGAGATCTGAGCAGAGGCTGGCGCATCCGGCTGGTTGTTGTGAGTCGCCGAGGACGGCGGCCGGGGCGAGGAAGGCCAGGAAGGTGGAAGGTTTCATTGTGAAGAGATTATAGGTGTATAGTATTGTATAGTATTGGAATAAGACTGGCGCGCAAATGCTTTGCGTTTTTGCCTATTGAGGAACAAGCAACGCCAAGGTGGTTGGTGCGGGTCGTGGGGGACGAGGGTCTAGAGTTGGCAAGGCAACAGTGCTGCAGATGGAGGTGGAGAAGAGGTTGGGTAATGGCGATATTACTGTGAATCTCTTCACGAATATTATAAGTTATGAGGGTTGTCTCAGAACATGCCACTTAAGTTCGAGTGGGTTGTTGTGTTGGATTGTCGCAGTCAGGCAACCGGGGGGAATAGGGGGCTAAACACGGGGGGGGTGGATGTTTTCCGATGTTTCGCCTTTTCTCTCTCTCTCTCTCTCTCTCAATTGTCAGAATCCAACTCACTCTTAGTCGTAGAGGAGGATTGAAAGAGAAAAAAGAAGAAGAAAAAAAAGCCCCAAAAGAACGAAACAAAACCCAGTGGGGAGGGAAAGAGGGAGATTAAGGGAACTGGAAAATCAAGATGAAGCCAGTCAAGGCGAGGGATTGGATTGGCCGAGCCGCTCTTTGGGTTCTTTTGGCTCTCTTTGGCTCTGAGACCCTGCCGTCCATGGGTGGGGCCCTGTCCCTGAATTATGTGGGTTCTGATTGGTTACCCAGATTTCCCTGTTTGAGGTTATCCAGTGTTTATTTATTGGCTGTTAGGGTGATAATCTCATATTCTATATTCCATAGTATGTATATATATATATATATATATACAATACTCCGTAGTTCATACTTAAATACAATAAAATCACTTTCCATTTCAAGTTCTAATTATAGCTCTAAGACATTTCGAGGCTTAACGGACAGCGCCACAAATGATCGTCAACGCAGATGCAAAATTTGAGCGAATAGACGACCACGCCCCCCGCAGCTAAGATGACGACGCGCATACAATATATACGTACTCCATATAGACCATACCAAAATCAAGGTATTTTGAACCCTTGTCCTTGGCATCGACCAGATCAAACGATACAACAGGACCATCGATATCTTTTTTTTTTTTTTTCAATGGGTCGAGTCACGAGGACGCGCTGCCTTGCATTGGTAGCAATACAGTCGATCAACCTTGATATCCGCTCTAATGCGCACCTGGGCTATTGTTCATGCTGCTCCAACGCAAAATACCCCCGGCCTCAAAAACGAGCCGGTGAGATCAAAATTCCCAGGTTCAGGGGTCCGAAATGTGCTCTTCGGTTTTGCAGTGCGCGCAAGTATGTGCAGTATTGTGTGTAGGCGTATCTGTTAATGTAGCTTCTCCGTCCCGCAGAGAGACCGGGGACTGCGACGACTGCGACTTTTTAGACTGACTGGCCTGAAGGTTTTTCAGCCTGACCTGCTCTCGCGATCTGCGAACCGCAAGGCGAATATCGCTGGGTAGGGAATCGGTTTGCATTAAACAATCCGCACAGGCGCGGCAGTAATATCCAGATTGGGTGTTCTTCGACTCAACGAGTCGGCGCTTGCTGCTGGGGACGGTGATCTCACCGCAGTGAACACATGGGCTTTTCAAGACTCGAGGATTGATTTGCAAGCGGGTCGCTCGGAGCTTTCTGAGCGCTGCGATTTGGACGGCGCTTGGCAACGAGTCTGTTTGAAGCAGGGACCGCGTGCATGGCTGGCAGTAGTAACCTGCCGCAGGATTCTGGGGCTCGACGAGCCTGCGTTTGCTGCTAGAGATGGTTTTGTCGCCGCAGTGCATGCAGGGGTATTCGCCGCGGCTCTGTTTCATCTGCTTGGGAGAGTTGGGATCACTGGAGGGACTGGAGGAACTGGAAGGGTGGTGAGGCGTGGGTTGTCCCTTTGTAGCGTCCGACGCATTACGTTTTGAGGCAGAATTATAACCCCTACTCCGTGTGCTTTTGCGGTACTGGAAAGCTGCAAGATCTAGCTCGGTTGGGAGCTTGCCGTGATGATTGAAATGCCGAACGCATGTCCGGCAGTGAAAGCCAGCCGAAGGGTTACTCGCATCGACGAATTTTCGGCTACTTCTCGGAGCAGTAATCGTGCCGCAGTGCCTGCATGGACTTGTCCTGCTTGCCTCTCCGCTTGACCTGACTAGTTTTCGCCGATTAATCGCTGCAAGCTGCTCTTCATTTGGCAGATTACCATGGGCGCGGATGTTCCGAACACAAGCTTTGCAGTGCCAGCCGCTGGAATGGTTGCCAGGATCGACGTGCCTTCTAGCCCTGGGGACAGTTTTCCCACCGCAGTGCTCGCAGAGCTCTGGCTCTTTAGCCGCAGAAGTCTCATAACGGCATTGCTGAGTCCATGACCCCTTGCCAGAGTCATAGAGAGTGTGTGCAGGTCTCAAGAGATCACCGAGTAAGCCCCGTAGCGAAAACGAAGGTTTGTTGGTATGGTGTGGACTTGTCGCAGACCAGCGATGTATGCAATGGGTGTCGCGTGATCGAGAAAAGAATCTTAGGTGTTGTGTTATGGTATGTCTTGTTGGCGGTCCATTGCGGAAGAATTGCGAATAGGATAGGTTGCATTGATACCCGAGAGGACGCAACGACATGGCGAAGGTTCGTGTAGCACCGGACGCACTCGATTTGGTCTATGCAGGCATTGTAGAGGGAAGTCGCGTAGTTGAATTGGGCCAGCTTATGGCTTGTACTCGACCATAATTGCTCTTGGGCATGGAGGATGTAATAGTGATCAAATGTTCTGAATTCGACACGCGCAAACAAAGTTCGTAGCTTGGCCGGCCGGGGCAGATGACTAGGTCTTGGCAGTTTTGATGCCTTAATTGTCAGGCCTATATAAAAATTACTAAGCTGGATGACTGCCCCAAAGCAAGAAATAGAACATGCAATACTTTGAGTATCAAAGTGAGACTAAAGAGAAAACAAGGGGAGAGAGGAGAACAGGTGTACTGAAGTCCTGCACAAACAAACAGAGTCACATGACTATTTGTTCGTCTCTTTGATATGCACTAGGTATATAATCTATCAAACTCCAATCTAACTAGTTACTGAAGTTTTAATCATTGCAAAGTTAATCATAACAAAAAGGGATTGCTGTAATAAGTTCGCTTGAATTTCTTTCCTCTCATCATAAGGTCACTTGGGTATAGGATTCAAAGCATCTCATCCCAGTTCGGTGTGACTGTAAACTTGCCAGACAATTGGCCCATAGACCAAACATGTTTTGGCGTATCTTCCTCGGGCTCGGGTGGCACCTTTGACAAGATGACAGCTTCCTGGACGAAACCAACCGGTGCTCCACGATCCAATTCCATACTGATTCCACCCCAGTCTAGGGTCACACGGCCTGACTGGTGCACGTTCAATTTACCGACACGGCCTGTGGGCAGAGACCATGGTTGGCCGGCTGTGATGACGCTGTTTTCTTTTGATTCGGTTGGTTGGATGTTATCAACAATCTCCACGTCATCACCTGCTTCGCGCTTGATCTCATTCTGGGGAGGTGCGGCTGCGGACGCGGCTGCGGCTGCAGCTTGAGGTTGGTTGTCTTGGGCAGAACCAGCGACTCGGAGGTAGGGTGTCATCGGCGGGAATTGCATGAGGAACATTTGGCCATGCAGAGGGTTGTCTTCTTCCTGTTCTTCTTCCTTCTCTTTGCTCGCTTGGTCACCTTCCTGTCCTTCCGCTGTGGCGGGTTTATCTTCGGCAGCTCCTTCGGTGGTTTCTGCTTCTGTGGTGGCTTTCTTTGACTCCTTGGGAACAAGAAGATCCCTGATAATAGACAAATCTTCCATATGTCGGTCATGTTCGTCAATTTCCTCTTTGGTGTGAAGTAGGCTGCGTGGGTCTGGGATCTCGGGCTCAGGCGTGGGTTGAGTCGACCGCAGTTCTGTCGTGCTCCTCTTTGTCGGGCTCATACTCTGGGCTGAGCGCACACGAACGTTATGCTCCGGGA